AACCCAAACTAAGGTACAAATGACTGGCCTATAGTCTTCAAACATTTCAATGTCAAAGCAGACAAAGACAAGCTGAGAAACAGTTCTAGATTAAAGACCAGAGGCGTAACAACTAAACGAATACAAAGACATAAAGGACAGTTTTGGAACAACAAATAGAATACGGCCTGTACCAACATGACCATTCCTGAGTTCAATAACTGTATTGCGATTACATAAAAGAATATCCTTGTTAAGTATTCAGAGATAAAAGGACACGGTAATTTCAAATACTTTCAGATGATTACAGAATGTAAATAGTTAGCACTCTGTGCATATATGTGCGTGTCTGTGTGTGTACGTCTATATAAATAGATAGGGAGAATGAATGTGGCAAAGTACTTTAAAATGGTGAATCTGGGCCCTATAGAGGCATTACCCAACCCATTTTCCATTCACATGGTACTAAGGGTTCCTAGGAGTGATAAAAACCTAAAGCCTACCAGAAGGTAGCATTTACATTTGAATCCCTTTGATGATCCCTGCCTTTAGAAATTCCAATTTCTTTCTCTAAGCCAGTGTTTCCAGACTACGGCCCAGGGAACACTAGTGTCTCACAGAATTATTTGACCCTCCTTTCCATTCACAATCCACCTTAGTATTTTTAATGCACTGTATGTAAAAGGATGTGTTAGAGACATCTGTTTAATTTTAACTTAATAGTTCTCAAGTTTATTTAACCATGGACTTCTTTTCTAGGAAGACCTATGAATCCTTATGAGGTGCTAGTACCCTATGGAATACAGTTCGGGAAATGCTTTTCTAAACCAAACTCAGATCTTTGGCACGAACACTGTTAGGTCTTAGAAGCCACCGATCTTTCATTCCAGTGAATTTTGTTACCGGTAATGGCCCACACAGGAGGACTCTGAGCATATTATTACTTGATGTCTGAACTTTAGAAGCTGGTACAGCAAAGACTGCACTGAGATTTTAAGGGCAGATCTGGATATAATCAGGAAACATTTAGGAAAACTGAATTAAGAAAAGCATTATAAATTAAATTTGAGCCTCTATTCTACAATGTGGGAGTAAAATAGTGTAAAAGAGTTGGCAAGGTGGCTGTGAAACTGGTTCAACGAAGAACAAAGCAAAACCCACTTCTCGTGGCGAAGTAAATCAAAATAACCTCCAAATGTCAATCTGAATCAAGAGCTATAAAATATCACATCTTTCCTCCTAGTGATTTAACTTCTGGAAATTTATAGCAGCAAATAATCAAAGAGAAAAGCATTTTGTAGAAGAATATTCAGAATAGGGATGCCTGGGTGGCTCAGTCAGTTAAGCATCCAACTCTTGATTCTGGCTCAGGTCATGATCTCATGGTTCACGGATGCCAGCTGTGAGTTGTCTCTGTGCTAACAGTGTGGAGCCTGGTTGGGATTCTCTCTCTCTCCCTCTCCCCTGCCACTCCCTTGCTCAAGCTCTCTCTCTCTCTCTCAAAATAAATAAATTAACTTTAACAACAACAAAAAGAATATTCAGGATTATTGATACCAACAAAATATGGTGTGCCCAGTGAGTGTTCCTGCCCTTAGGAATGGCAAATGGTCCCACCAGCAATACAGTGACCTTAGCTAGAAACTGGCATAACACCAGACTCCTCCACCTCCTTCACTGCCCCCACCCCATGCCGCTGTTTCTACTTTGCAAGCATCTCTCAAGTCTGTCCACTTGTTCTTTACTCCCATGACACCACCTGAGTCCAGGTGTCATCATCCCCTACATCTCCTGAGTGACCTCCCTGCTTATCTCTCCCATCCAGTCCGTTCTGCATACCGCAGAGTGACCCTTCTAGACCGATAATCTCATGATGTCAATCTATCTGCTTGAAAACACTGAACTTCCCTTAGGGTGAAGCTCAAATTCCTTAGCATGACTTTCAGTGCCTTACTCGAGATACTCAACGACTGTCTTAGCCATTCCCACTGCCCAGGCTGAGGGGGTTTATTGCAGTTCCCTGAACATCGAGCTGCGTTGCACCTTCAGACCTAAGCACACCCTCCTCCCTCTGCCTGTATCGGCCTTCCTCACCTCTCAATAGTTTGGGAAACAGGTACCTATGTTTAACCCCTTTGCTGCCTCACATCTCCCTCACCATACAACCTGATTTCTGCCTCATCGTTGCCCCAATGTTTCCCCTGACAAAATCATCAGAGAAAGAAAAAGACAACAAAGGAAAGGAAAGCAAAGAGAGAATGTTAAAAATCCTGTGTAGCACTATATATGGGGCACACTATGCTAAGCACCCTATGAATATTAACTCGTTTATTCTCCCAACAGCTCTGTGTCCTTCACGGTAGCATATGGTACCAAAGGGCACAGAAGATAGCGCTTTCAGTTTTTCTCATGTTTTTCTGTCAAATTCTTTGCTTTCTTTGCCAGGTTATCTTTCTTGACTTGACCAACGAACACTGAAGTTACTCAAGGCTCTGTCATGTCCTTGTCTCTTCTCACTCGATAACCTCCCCCCAACCCCAACCCCTGTGGTGATCTCACTCTCTCCCAAGGTAATTACTGTGTACAGGTAGATGACTTCCTGACCTATTTTCTGAGCTCCAGTCCTGATTATCTAATTGACTAGATGGCATTTCCACTTGTATGCTTTGCGGGCACCTCAGACTCACCATTGAAACCTGAGCTCACCATCTCTCCATCACCCGTCACGTCTGCTACCCCATGGTAACTGGCACAAACATCTAAGTTTTTTTTTTAATGTTTTATTTATTTCTGAGAGAGAGAGAGAGACAGCGTGAGCAGGGAAGGGTCAAAGAGAGAGGGAGACACAGAATCCGAAAGAGGCTCCAGGCTCTGAACCAGCTGTCAGCAGAGCCCAAAGTGGGCCTCGAATCCATGAACCATGAGATCATGACCTGAGCCAAAGTCGGATGCTTAACCGACTGAGCTACCCAGGCGCCCCCAAACATCCACACAGTTGTTCAGACTGGAAATCTAGAAGTCATCATGGATTCTTCTCCATTCCTTCTTTCCCCCACATCCAATCAGTCTCCATACCTCATCAGTTCTGCCTCTTACGTCTTTGTCAAACCATCTGTTTCTCTTCATCCTCACTATCATCATCTGTGTCCAAGGTGCCATCAACTTCAGCCTCTGCTACTTTGATTGTCTCCGAACTGGTCTACCTATGCGCTTGGCACATCTTCCTTGATCCATTCTCCTACACACCAGCCAGAACAGTGTTTCTGAAAAGTACTGGGTTTGAATCTGGGTTATGCCATTTATTGGCAGAGATGGTATGGCTGGGCATATCCCTCAACCTTTCTAATTCTTGACTTTCTTATCTATAAACTGGAAATAATAGTATGTCAAATGGTGACAGTAATTAAGAGAGATAATCAGACACAGTGACAGAATGGGACATTCTAATATACTGTGGATGGGCTAATACAAACTTAAAAAAGAAATAAGAATATGGAACTCTTAGTCCCATGTCATTGCATCTCATTTGAAATAACAAGAATGAGTTCGGTGTATATTTTAGAATTTTAACAGGGAAAAATTCTGAGAAAACAATTTAACATGTACTTTTAGCAGATGACGCAATACAAAAACATCAAATTCATTGTGATGATTAATTTTATGTGTCAACTTGGCTAGGCCATGGTGCCCAGTTTTTAGGTCAAACACTAGTTAGTCTAGATGTTGCTGTGAATGTATTTTTGTAGATGTGATTAACATTTACATTGGTGTTGGAGAAAAAGAGATTGCCCCCCAGTGATGTGAATGGGCCTTATCCAATCAGTAGAAGGCCTAAAGAGTAAAAAGCTAAGGTTTCCTGGAGAAGAAGAAATTCTTTTATTTTTTCTTTTCAAATTTTTATTTAAATTCTAGTTAATTAACGTACACTGCAATATTGGTTTCAGGAGTAGAATCCAGTGATTCATCACTTACATATAACACCAGTGCTCATCATAATTGCCCTCTTTAATGTGCATCACCCATCAAGGCTATCTCCCATCCACCTTCCTCCATCAGCCCTCAGTTTGCTCTCAAATATCTTTAAGAGTTTCTTTTGAGTGCTTGAGTGGCTCAAGAGGTTTAGTGTCCAACTCTTGATTTTGGCTCAGGTCATGATCTCATGGTTGTGATATTGAGCCCTTTGCCTGGCTCTGCGCTGAGCATGGAGCCTGTTTAAGATTCTCTCTTTCCCTCTCCCTCTGCCGTTCCCCCACTCACTCACATGGGTGCATGTGCGCTCTTTCTCTCAATAAAAAAAAAGTTGAAAAAGAGTCTTTTATGGTTTGTTTCCCTCTCTTTTCTTTCTACCCCCTCCATATGTTCATCTGTTTTGTTTCTAAATTCCACATGTAAGTGATGGAGAAGGAATTCTGCCTCAAGGCTATAACATAGAGATCCTGCCTGAGTTTTCAGCCAGCCTGCCTACCTTATGGATTTCGGACTTGTCAGCCCCCACAATAGCGCCAGCCAATCTCTTTCTTTCTATGTATGTATCCTATTCATTCTGTTTCTCTGAAGAACCCTGATTGACACACACACACAGAATCCTATGATGACCAAGTATATCAGCAGCTAATAAATGGCAACTCTAAGTGGCTTAAGATGAATATTTTAGAGTGTAGTAAAAAACAAAACAAAACCCTAACCAGCTTGATAACATAAGCTCTAAATAGATAAACACGAAAGGATATAGAACTTTAGAAAATAAGACTTGCCTTATGCCCCTGATATGAGACAAGCCATCATCGGGGAGTCTCAGGTTGTTTGAGGCCCACGCACCTGGTCACAGTGGACCATTGTCCCACACTTACCCACTTGGTCATCTATATGGAGACATTTGTTGAACATCTACTCCAGGCCCAGTGTTCTACATATCCAGTGCAAAGAGCAAAAACCAGGTCTTCTCAGAGCTGCTATTCCACTTGTGTCTAGGAAGAGCACTGGGTCCAGAAGAGCTCTGGTGGCCATATGTTCCGGCTTACCTGGAGAAAATGGTTGATGGATGCGTCGTGAACTCCCAGGGCTTGCTCTACCCCTGCTAATTCCTTCAGTATTGGTACACACTCCAGACTTTTTTCACCTCTACTGATCTCAATGTATTCTAAAGCCTCTTGGTAGTGGGGCAGGGCTTCTTTTGATTTCTTCTGACTTTGATACACCCTAAAAAATCATCAGAGAGATTATTTTTAAATAATTAAGTAGAAGACACACAGGTGGGAAAAATAGATGATCTGGTGGTTAGGATTTGGCTCTCGGACCCTTGTTGTCAGGTTCTTCCTAGCCAGCTAAGTTTTTGTTTCTTGCAGGAGGCTGTGGAGCATAGTGGTGAAGAGCATGCACTTCAGAATAACCAGGAAGTTTCAGATCCTGGCTCCACTACCTATTAGATGTGTAAACCTCCAGTTGCTGAACAACTTCCTCATCTCTAAGTTGAAAATAATAGTGTTGGGGTGCCTGGGTGGCTCAGTCGGTTAAGCGTCTGACTTCATCTCAGGTCATGATCTCATGGTTCGTGAGTTCAAGCCCTGCATCGGGCTCTGTGCTGACAGCCCAGAGCCTGGAGCCTGCTTCAGATTCTGTGTCTTCCTCTTTCTGTCCCTCCCCAGCATGTGCTCTGCTTCTCTCTGTCTCTCAAAAATAAATAAATATTTAAAAATTTTTTTAAAAAGAATAATAACAGTGCCTCCTTTACTGGGCTATAATGAAGATCAAATTAGTCAACACTCATAAAAATGCCTAGAATAGTCTTTAACATGCAGTTGGTGCTATGTAGGTGTTGGTTTAAAAAACACAAAATATTTTTAAAAATAATTTATCGTCAAGTAAGCTAACATAAGTGTATACAGTGTGCTCTTGGCTTCGGGAGTGGATTCCCATGATTCATCGTTTACAGACAACATCCAGTGCTCATTCCAACAAGTGTCCTTCTCAATGTCCATCACCCATTTTTCTCTCTCCTCTGGTCCCCCACCCCCATCAACACTCAGTTTGCTCTCTGTATTTAAGAGTCTCTTATGGTTTGACTCCCTCTCTGTTTGAAACTATTTTTTCCCCTTCCCTTCCTTCATGGTCTTCTGTTACGTTTCTCAAATTCCACATATGAGTGAAAACATTTGATATTTCTCTTTCTCTTATTTCACTTAGCATAATACCCTCCAGTTCCATCCACGTCATTGCAATGGCAAGATTTCATTCTTTCTCATTGCCAAGTAGTGTTCCATTGTATATATAAACCACATCTTCCTTATCCATTCATCGACTGATAGACATTTGGGCTCTTTCCACGATTTGGCTATAAAATCATAAAATATTTAACAAAACAATTATAGCAACCATAAAGGATGCCAAGATGCTGATAAATGATCTGTTGAGAAATTATAGAAATTTCCTAGTATTGGTGAGGGTATAAAGCACTCTCATTAACTGTTAGAAAGAATATAATTTGAGCATAAACTTCTCTATATCAAAATCATACATATATAAAGTACACACACATATTTCTGTTAATTGCACTTTTAGTAGTTTACTAAAAGAGATACTCTGGCAGGGAAAGAATATATGTATAAGAATGTTTACCTAAGCACTCTTTGTAATAGTGGAAAAGTATAAGCACTTAAAATATACCAATAGGAGATCATTCAAACAGATTACAGTAAGCATATCTATACTGTAGCGTGCCACATCGCCATTATGATCCATATTTACCAACATAGAAGTATAAAAGTATAAGTATAAAGGGCAGAATACAAAAAAAAATGCTTTGTATAACATCCTATGCAGGTGAAAATGTTATATCTAATCTATATGTACACATATGCATAAATAGATATCTAAATGGACACTAAAATGTTACCATTCAATAATTATCTTAAAGGAGTTGGTTGTAAGTGATTTTACTTTTGTTTATGCTTTCTAAATTTCCCAAAATTTCTTCTATAAAATTGTATTACTGGGGCACCTGAGTGGCTCAGTCGGTTCAGCATCTGACTTCGGCTCAGGTCATGATTTTGTGGTTCATTGGCTCGAGTCCTATGTTGGGCTCTGTGCTAATAGCTCAGAGTCTGGAGCTTGCTTCAGATTCTGTGTCTCCCTCTCCCTCTTTGCCCCTCCCCCACTCACGCTCTGTCTGTCTGTCTGTCTCTCTCTCTCAAGAATAAACATTTAAAAATTTTAATTGTATTACTTTAACATCAGAAAAATGTTAACTTAAATATTATAAGTAAAGGTGGTGGTGGGAAAAGACTCTTTAGCTTCTTTCATATAAAAAAATATATCTCTATATTTTGTTTAGCAAACACAATAGTAGACATTTAGAAACAACCTTCTCTAAAATATTTACTAAGAAATAGAAACTTTTTTCTTGCATCGAAAATTTTTATATGTAAAATTCATTATGAAAGGCACTAACCCTTTCTACATTACCCTTTACCTTAGCATCTTTACTACAAAAAAGCCTTACAATTCCCTGCTGCCCATGGGTAAACTGAGACATAATGTGAGTGAGTGACTAGGAAACCACACACACAAAAAATAGGTTTTGTTTTTAACTCAGTTACTGGACATTTTGCACAACTATTTTTGCTCTGTAATAAATGTCAAAGGGAATTGATTGATAGAAGATGGCTGCTCAGATCTATGCTCCCAATGGCAATAGTGAAATAACATGCTGACTAGCTTATGAACTTGGATACGTTCTATAAATGGGAAGAGGTTGAAAACATAGGAGAAGGTCAGGGATATGTTCTTGGACCAGGTCGGGTCCAGGTTCTAGCTTGAAGCAACTCCTAATCTTAGAAAGGAAAAGATTAATCGGTGACCTAGTAATACTGGGCTTGTCTTCTGACTCTTACTGAACTTTGGATGTAGTGAGCAATATTTAGCTTTGTAAGTATCATATTTTATTTTTGAAGAGAAAACTCACTAGCATCTTTGATGACAGAAAGAGGCTTTGAAACATATGGTTGCTAACAAATCACTCAGCCCAAAAATGAGATTCCTGGTAGACAAATGTTTCTAAACAACTGAAAACAAGAGGCAGCAAACTGTGGCCTGTGCACCAAATCTGCTCACTGTCTTTTCTTGTAAATAAAGTTTTATTGGCACACAGCCACATCCACTTGTTTACACATTGCCTATGGCTGCTTTTGCACTATAATGGTGGAGCTGAGTAGCTGCAGTGCAGTGGACACCTGCAAAGCCTGAAATATTTACTGTCTGGGACTTTTCAGAAGAAGTTTTCCAACCTCTGGTCTAGAATCTAGAGAAAGCTACAAACTTTCAAAATGACTTCAGATTTTTTTTCCATCTAATTTAGCCTTGAGATCTCCAACAATGCCACAGATATTTGAGCAAAGGAAAAAAAAACAATCACTTTTTTCCTTTCTCATGTTCATAGATGATGAAGTATGTACCAAGGAAATAAAGAATGGGTCCTTTGTTTCCAAGGCTGCTGTAAAGATCATGGAAGGGTAATAAAGCAGATACAAAGTATTGGTAATACAAGATGGTTTCATTTGAGCAAAAGCTTTAAAGGAAAGCAAAATTCAAAGCTTAATGATCAAGGTTACAAATGCAAAAAAAGAAAAAAGAAAAAGAAACACAGAAAAGAAATAATGGCAAGGCATAAGTTAATTCATCCAACAACAATTTTTCCTTTCCGAAGATGGAACAGTAAAGAAAAGTATTTGAGAGTCTGTAATGGTGGAGAACAGGGACAACTTGTTCTTCCTTTTTACCATTTATCTACTCTCTTAGCCAAAAGCACAGCGTATCACCCCAGGTTAACACCATGTCACTTTTTCAGATATCAGAAAATGATCTTTCAAATACCGGACTCTTGGAGAAAATTTTATAAAAAGAAGGACACAGGGGGGCACCTGGGCAGCTCAGTCCATTAAGCGTCTCACTTCAGCTCAGGTCATGATGTCACAGTTTGTGGGTTCGAGCCCCACATTGGTGCTTCGGATTCTGTGTCTCCCTCTCTCTCTGCCTCTCCCTCCCCCCCAACAAAATAAACAAACATTAAAAAAAAAAAAAAAAAAAAAAAAGGATGGGAGACAGGCCAGTCAGTTACAAGTACTGTGGCAGGAGTAAAAAACCCCAATCATAGTTTGAGCATCCTTACTGACCAAGCCGCACAACCTTGGGCAAGAACAAAACGTCTGTGAACCTTGGTTTCCTCATCTCAACACTGGTGTCCAATAGGGTTGTTTTGAGAACCCAAGAAGATGTCTAAAATGCTCTGCAAACTGAAGCACGGCACACAGATCGGTATTACACGCCTATACATCATCATACCTTTCACTCCTTCCCCTCCCAACCAGGAGTCTGTATGGAACTGAGTGCCACAGCCTCAGGTTGTTCTTCTGTTGAAACAGGCCTCAACTGTGGTCTCACACCCACCCACAGAAGATTTCGGAAAGTCCAAATAATAAGCATAATCAGTCAAACTCATGTGCCATTGTGGAAGGCATTTTCTTATCCAGCTAACCTTTAAAATTTTTTGAGAATATTTTATTATAAGAATAATATGTACCCATCATTAAAAACTAAAAACTATACAGTCACAACATCCAAAGATGAGTGCCATACACTTTGATACACACCCTTCCAGATGATTTTCCTCGCATATTTTTTTTAAAGAATCAGATTGTTTTAAAACCTGCTTCTTTCACTTAATTGTATATCAAAATGCGGTATGAATGTTATAACATCACTTTAAGGGTTGAGTGGTGTCATAGACCAGTGTCTTCATTGACTGCCAATCTTCAAAAATAGCATTATTTAGGAAGTTTAAAAAATGGTTTGTGGGAGGCACCTGGGTGGCTCAGTCGGTTAAGCCTCCAACTCTTGATATCGGCTCAGGTCACGACCTCACAGTTTGCGAGATCAAGCCCCACATCGGGCTCTGCACTGACAGCACAGAACCTGCTTGGGATTCTTTCTCTCCCAATCTCTCTACCCTTCCCCCATTCACGCTCTCGCTATCTCTCTCAAAATAAATAGATAAACATTTTAAAAAATGGCCTCTGGAAAACTGTTACAAATCATATTTCTGAGGAGGGACCCACATCCAGAATAAATAAACAACTTCTACAACAATAATAACAAGACAACCCGATTTAAAGATGAGCAAAGTTTCCAAATAGCCATTTTGCCAA